AAAACAAATGTGCAATGAATAATCATGATACTTTGGAAAATAGAGGGTTCAGAAGGGCCATTGGGATGCACTGAATTTATGGGTTCTCAGACGTTCTTACCGCAAGGTTCCCAAAGTCAGAAAACCAGCTTGGTCCTCCTGCTAGCCCCTTCCTCTCAGAAAAAGGCTTATTGAGAGCTTAAATTGATCAATGCTCTTTGCCAGCACACCGATGTTGTTAAATGCATCATAGAGGCTCCTGGCTTGTCTGTTGAGAAACTGATGGGCATAAGAATGCCCACATACAAATCAGCTAGAGCAGCAAGCTGAACTTTCCCCCTAACATCATGAAATGGCTCCATTACATTTCTCCTGGCATCTTTGGGAGTGTCACAGAATAGGATGGTTCCTCCCAAAACACCTATGGGATTCTGCTGTCCTTTTCTACTTATTGTATGGCAGCAACGAGGATCACTGGAAATGTCCCTCCCTCTCCAGTGCCTGCAGTGGCAACCTAAGTGCTGGGAACCTGGAATATCCTGGAATCAATCATGTCCCTTCGTTCCTGGCATCCATGTCTACAAAGGACCTCGCTTCAGGCACCAGTAAAGGAAGCCTGTAGTTGTGGTGGCATCCTTTTGTCAATGGCTCTGCTAATCCTGGTTACGGTGGAAGGGCAGAAAGAAGGAACCAGGGAAGGTCCTTTTCCAGCTCAGCATACATGCAAAGGCCAGAGGGCTCACTTCATACTAAAGGCGATGATTTCAAGTTGCTAGATTCATATTCCAAACTAAGGAATTACAATCTTTGGTCACATCACTAAATGAGAGAGAGAGAAAGCCTGGTTATTCCTGAGAGTAGGAGAGCTTAAAGGGTCATCCCTCCTGCAAGGCATTCCATCACTATATATTTAGTAATAAAAGTAATACCAGGGTGTGTTGAACTGAGAAAATGCTTTTCTTATTTTAGACTGGGAGGAGGATGACCTTTTAAGGGCTGAAAGCCGACTTGAGGCCCCTTTTCGTTTTCTTCTCAATAATTCATTGTTTGCCAATATTGAAAAGTACTTCAACAATTTACCCAACTCACACATGCATACATGCACACTCCTGAAAGGGCCTGGCAGTGAATTTCTGAATGGCAGTATTCCATGCTGAAATATAGGATGTATGTTCCATTGTTTTATCTTGAAAAAATGTTGGTATGTCAGGTACACCTCCCAGAGGGCTTTGGCTACAGGTGGTATAGAAATGAAATAATCGTCATAAATATGAATGAATAATCCTGTGAAATGCATTAATTGGTTTCATAATATTCCCATTAGCAAATCTTCCATGAATATTTTGCTACTTCATTATGTATCATCTTACATGGGGAGTTGATGGATCAGAAACAGGATTGTGTTCTTTCAGTGATAAAGCTAAAGAATTTAAGAAATAATGTATCAACCAGAATGGGAATGTACATTTATGGTGGAAAAATATAAGTAGAGGGAAGAAAGGCAAGTGAGGCAGAACAATGTAAAACATGGAAATGGACAATTACATATTAGGATAATTTAATGTAAATCCATTTAGAGTGAGCATGTGGGTCTTAAATAATAAATAATGTTATTTGTACAAAGGACAAAGTCACATTGGTTCAGGAACTGAAGTATATTGAAGTTCTTCTTGGAATTAAAGCAAGAATCATCAGCTACACATAAAAAGACTTTAATTAAGGGTGTACAACCTGGTCCCTCCATGTGTTTTTGGCTGACAACTCCCATAATCCCTGGAGGACACCAGGTTGTCTACCTCTGATTTAGATTATAAAAATATAAATGATTGGATAAGATGCCTACAGAAGCTTGATGGGGGTTATCAGGAAAGGTGTGAATCATCTGCCATAAGCTTTTTAGATAGATGTTGGGATGAGTCCATTCCAATTGTATGGCTCTGTGCACAGGTGTTTGGTTAGTCAGTGCATTGAGAAGGATATGTGAAATTTAGAGATGTTCAAACTCTGTGACACCAAGGAGATCTAACAGGATATTCCTGTTACCTGAGAAATGCCTTCCACTTGAATATAAAAAGGTCCTTCATCAGATGAGAGATTGTCACCACACTGTCAAAGGTGAGTAAACTGGTGACTGGAGAAAGGGCCTTTCAAATGTGACTCGGTGATTGTGGAATTTTCTCCTCAAGGAGATTCCTCTGGTGCTTATTCTGTTTTCATCCCAGCACCAAAGGTAAACTTTTTAATTTGCCTTTTAGTTCATCATTTCAGTGCTGTTTCATGACCAAATTATCCTCTGCTCCACTTTGTATCATTTTCATTGGTTTGCATTATATTTATCAATATTGTGTCTTACTGTAAGCTGCTCTGGCAGTCCTTATGAGCTGAGAGGTGGATATGCAATACCCATATAACTAAATACATACATTCCTGGAGTTCATAGCTCATATTAGTTCTTGACATTTTCATTACATCAGGCTGCCAAAAACTGCACATGACCAACAGGGCAGGTAATCTCCATGGCAGGAGAGCATGATGTTCCTGGCCCATCATGGGGTCATGGGGCTTCATGTGCGGCGCATACATACATCAACACTGCACACACACACACACACACACACATTTCACCAACAATGTATCATACTACCCCAGCAACAATTGATCTTGGTCTTGATGACCAAGACAGTGTCTGGTGAATGTTCTGAATTCCACCCAGTGACCACAATCCAAGTGCCAGAAAGAGAGAGGAAAACATGCTCATTGGTCTCTTTCATAGCAACCTCATTCCTGGAGTGTCTCCAAAACATTTCTGGAGGCAGACAGGAAACTTTGAGCACCTTCTAAGTCATTCCAGACACACAGCAAGAATGAGTTTTCATGACAAGTGCCTATTGGTAGTTTTTACCCTCTTTTTCCATTCCTCAGTGGGGCAGACACTTGGGGTATAGGACCTTCCAGATGAGGGTTAGGGGTCTACTGGCTGTACTTACAGTCCTACTCTAGGACATGCAACAATATACAATATCTGCAGTGTGCTCTAAATTTTATGACATAAGAACGGGTGAAATAATCTAACAGCAAAGAAAGCAGCTACTATGTCACTGCATGGGTTTGCAGTTGCAAAAATTGCACTTGAGGTAGGGGTTCGGTACAAGAAAAGGTACTGGGCAACAGCCCACTGGTTTGAAAGACTGATATGCAAAACCATGAAAATAAAGTTTGGATCTCGTTTATGGCCACGTTCTGCTTTATAGTTGATGAAGGGAAAATGGAAGTACTACAACTCCATTTTAATTTACACCAGAGATAAAATTATTATCTCTCCATACAGAGGCAGAGAATGGTTTTATGTCATACATTATTGTGTAGCTTTCTTTCACCAAGTAGAACTCTCCTAGTTTTGGGAAATCGCACTTTCTCAGCAACTTGCGAGAAATGTTCACCACTGAACGCATATTTTTTTGACACACTGGAGTCATGAAAATGTATGTTCTTCCCAGGAGATATACCTCGCTACATCAATACGGTGCTCTACTAGCATGCAAATTTATGTAGCATGATGTATTTAATTGAAAAGCTCTAGTAAGGTGTTAACAATAAAAATAAGGCTATCCTTCCAATAAGCCCCAGATATGCATTAGCTGTGTGTGCGCATGCGTGAATGTGCAACTAAGTGTTGAGTCAGCCTACCATATAGGATATATAAACATAAAGGTTTCCCCTTGACATTAAGCCCAGCCATGCCTGACTCTAGGGGGTGGTGCTCATCTCCGTTTCCTAGCTGTGGGAGCCAGCGTTTGTCCACAGACAGTCTCCGTGGTCATGTGGCCGGCATGACTAAATACCGAGGTGCATGGAACGTTGTTACCTGCCCACCCAAGTGGTACATTTTCATCTACTTGCATTTGCATGCTTCCGAACTGCAAGCTTGGCAGGAGCTGGGACGGAGCAACGGGAACTCACCCCGTGGTGCAGATTTGAACCGGCAACCTTTCGATCAACCAGCCCAGCAGCAGGGCGGTTTAAACCACTGTGCCACCTGCAGTACCTATAGGATATATACGTAGTCCTTAAAGACTGCCCTACATTCATGTTCACCTACTAGGAAAAAATGCAATGTATATAGAATTTTGTTTTGTTGGCCTTAGAACAGAAGTGCTACCAAGTGCTAAGTGGAATGATAGTCTGGCATGTCACTGCAGACTACTTAAAAATAAATTGAGTTCTGGCTATTAAAAGATTTGAACTGAAAAGTTCAATTGAGTAAATTAGGACTTTTAGTCTTCGTTATCTTTGGAAGAGTTTATCTCTCTTGTGTTACTTTTCTGCCTCAAAAAATTCATCTTCAGCTATCTCACAGAATGGGTTGAGAATGCACCCTTGTCATTAACATGACAAAGCCTGGAGTACTTTAAGGTAGGTCGACCGTTCCGAAGTCTGAAAATAAATAATATACAGTATACCAAGTGCTTTAACTGTCTGCCAGTCTAAGGATCAATATGCATAGCGTGTGAGACGTCCCACCTAAAAGATTGGTACTGGGGAAACAGTGCTGGGGAAGGTCGCAGAACTAGCTGAGAATACCCAGGAGCATCTGGTCTCTCCTACTGAAAACAAGAGGTTAACTGGAAGGACTTTGCTCTGCCCAGAAAGACAATTCTCTATTTCTCACTACGACTGGGATAAGGATAAGTAGGACCCAACAGACAGGGATAAACTTTTAGAAAAACCCATCTTCTTCATACATCTCCATAAGAATACTCAAATTGTTGCCAGGCAAAGCTTGGGAGCCACATACCCACCATTCATGTGGAACGGACGGTTCACACAAACAGATCCTCTATGGTCCCACTAGCCTGGCCAGCATTTTTCTGGCTGCCCTGCACACTGTCCCACGAGGCCCCACAGCCATGTGTGAATCCTCTGGGCCCCTCTGACACCGCCAGGCACATTGGCCTACACAGAGCTTAATATGAGTAGCTGGTTGAATTGTTATTTTTTCTTCTGCTTCTTCCCCTTTCCAGGAGTAACTGTACTTGAAGGACCCATTTATGCCGTGGGAGGCCATGATGGCTGGAGCTATCTAAACACAGTGGAACGCTGGGACCCCCAAAGCCAGCAATGGACGTTTGTAGCCAGTATGTCTATTGCCAGAAGCACTGTTGGCGTGGCAGCATTAAATGGCAAGTGAGTAGGGGCAGAACGGTTCAATCATTAGGACTGGCAAACCCCGGCATAAGCATCCCCATCCAGCTTGCACTATCTGAACACCACAAGTATGATCTCCGTTGTTCTCTAAAACGCAACACTCTCGGTGCATTTCTGCAGTGAGCTTAGTTTGAGGGGGTTTATACCAAGAGCAGGGTTAGAGTAGTGGAGATTTTAGTAATTAGTGCACTATTTAAAAAACAGGAAGGGCAAGCTGAAATGTCACCATTTTACAGTTGGAAGAAATGCAGTATTTTCCAGCTGTTTTTTAACTACCATTTTCTGCTTTTGTGTTGCAACGTTTCCTTCACTACTTCCGTCCCTCCAAGTCTAAGCATCAGTGAGTGGAATGTGTCAATGCAGTGTCAATAGTTGTGCATTTTTAAGCTTTTGTTCTGTTCTATTTACAACTCAGCTCCTCCATTACTGTCGTCATACAATCTTAAGGAATTACTGTTGCCTTAAAAGCGAAGCATGGTGTTCCCTAAAGAGAGCAGCAGTAGTGCTTCACCCAAAGACACAAGAGTGGTTATAAAACAGTCTGAGAACGAGTTTGACTGTGAGCCATCTTAATGGTGTACATGGAATATACAGATGCTACAAGCACCTTACGGGATGAGGCTGTGTTGGAAAAGCTACACCAGGAAAAATAATTCCCGGAGCTCTCTGATCAGTGGCCAGTGTGACTGCTCTGTAGTTTTTAAGCTTGACAGATTAAAACCAGGAGTTCTTGTCTTAGGACAATTCTCAGATAATCTCATGAAGTTTTAATTACATCATCAAAACATTGCTATGCGTGTTTGGGCAAGAGTGTGCATGCATGTTGGTTTCATGCAGGTAAGACTCACAGACTGAGTTCATGTGTCATGACCAGCAACCCTGCATGGATACCACAATTTGTGGGTTTTCTACCACAATGTGCCCTACAGAGGGTTAGGTTCCTGGTGGCATGTGCTGTTCTTCCTTCCCTTCCTTCCTCTTGGCCTTCCAGGAGGTATCCCAGGAGACACCACAGGGAGGACATGAGGCCTTTTGCTTTGACAGAGATGTTTGTGGGCTGATTTTGGCTTACTGAAAGATGGTGGAGAAGATGAGGGAGCTGATTACTGTCTGGACAAGATTCTTGGATGAAGGGGCATCATGTGAAAGAATGACACAGCTGTCCCTGCTCTTGCCTCAAAGCATTGCTCAATGAGTGGAGACTAGAACAGTACCCAGGAGGACTGATATGCTGTCACAGGTGTACCTGCAGCACGGACTTTAATCAATGCCACACAGAAGGGCTTAAATGATAGACTGAAGAAACACAGTCCAGGGTTACCATCCATCTTCCTTTATGTGGAAATAAGTCTTATTAAGCAAAGAATACTTGCTCTGAATAAATACCTGCAGGATCAGACTGTCTGGAAAGCATGTCAGATTTTTAGCTGGTGAAACAAATAATTATTGGATAGTTGTGTGGCATAACATATCATTGATACTGAAAACCTGATTTTTCCTTCACAGCCACAAGGTTTTTCCACAAAATATGGGTAGTGTTAGCTTTCTTCAGGAGTTCTGTACTCAAAATTAAACAATGTAGCTACCCAGCTGAGCAGTTGATGAGTTTTTGAGGTGCCACAAGACGTGTGTGTGTGTGTGTGTGTGTGTGTGTGTGTGTGTGTTGGCTAACATGAATAAATAAGCTCAAAGAAGTAACTTCAAAGCATAGTCTATGCATCTTTTTATCATTTATGGTATTTCAGAATATGTGAGGTTCTTCAGTTCTAGCCCCAGACTGGGCTAATCAACAGCTTATGTCTACTTAGCATAAGGAAAAACATATCCTAAGATCTATAACTTACTGAAAAGCATTTGATTTCCTTGTTGCAAGGCCAAAAAGTTTGGCACAACAATGTATATAGCTGCCAAATGTTTGATAATATGTGTTCCAAACAAAGGAATCCATTAGTAATATTTAAACTTTTTAATATGCTCAACCAGCCTTCTCAATAACAGCTGAAGGATATGGCCACATTATAAAGGCCATGGGACCTGCTTCTTCTGTAGTGATATTTTTTCCTGAAGTGTATAAACTGTACAATCTTTTACCAGCAATGTTTGGTAGGCAAGAAAAGGTTTTGGGTTCCACCGCACATACTTCCTGCTCCTTGATGAGGCGCTCGTAAGTTTTGTACCCATTTAGACCAGTCAGCAACTCGAGCATCCAATTCACTAGTTTGTGAATGGGCTGGGCCACAGAAGGAGAAGACTTCTATAAAGCCCCAAAGATTAATGCTTTATAAGGCCGCTAGTACAGGTCCCAGCCTCAGCTTAGCTAGATCTCATAGTCTTCTCAGGTCTTGCCCATGAAGTCGGTGTCCTGGGGCAGCCTGGAGGTAATGGGTGACAGATGGCCGCTGTTTCAATTTTCCACCTGGAGGACAGAAACCCTCCCACTGCTGGCCTAGCGGCAATGACTGGCTGACATTTGGCACACAGAAATAAACACAGGGTTAAAGACAGGAGTCTAATACTATGAAGCCATTCCAAAACCGAGTTGGTGTATTGACTTCCCATATCATTGGGGCACTGCAGTGATGAACGAGGCTCACTGGATCGGGTGTCTGTGTGAACCCACTAATTCTGCTGTATGCAGTTTCAACATTGGTGCACATCGCTGTACCAGCAAACCCCTGGAACAGGGTGGGCACAGCTCAGTCATCCGGATTATTTGTCCTACAACTCCCATGATTCTTTGCCTTGGAATGATTGAAGTTGCAGGCCAAAACATCTGGAGGACCAGTAGTGGTCATTCCTGTTGTAGAGAGAAGGGAAGCAACGCTGGACAATGTGAGGTCGTATACTTAGGACTATATATTTAATTAGGTTTCCTAGTGGTTAGCTGTTTGCTATTAGTGATACATTTATCACACACCCAGCTCGTGTGTTATTAGGCACATAACTTTTGAATGCCATCCTTTATTTTTTAAGTATATCTAAAAATAACACTTCCATTCCTAGGACATTGTGGTTGACCTCATATTGCCCATTCACCCATAAACCATAGTTAACTTTCTAATTGACATTGCTCCACTGCATCAAGTCTCCATGCTGTTGAAATGCTCAAGAATAGCTCAAATAGACAGTTCTGCTTTGACTGCACAACTTTGTTCTTACTCTACAGAATATTTTATAAATTTATTACCATATTTAGCTAGTCAGCTGAAATGTAGATTTACTAAATGATTTGGTAAGTAGAGTTTTAAAAGCTTATATGAATAGTCTGGGTGTTCCTTCTTTCTTTCTTTTGCTTTGTGCATATCTAAGCAACTGAAAATGTGCAGCTTTTATACGCATTGCTTGTAAAACAAAAGTAAATATTTTAATAGACACACATACACAGCCAAAACACAGCTGGGTTTATTTAAGGTCAGTTTTCTTCTTATAGTTTCCTATATTTATACAATGTATTCTTTGTTTATAGAATAAAGCAAGAAATATTAGCATGAAAAGAGAAAATAAATCAATGTCTGGTCTAGTGACCAGTGCAAAAGCCTGAATCCAAACTCAGACCACTGGCTCCAGAGCTATCTAATGCACGTGTTTTCAGGTATAAGTCTCAAATGTTCAGTGGGACTCATTTCCAGCTATGCCTCAATTATTTGTACAGGTCAGCAGCCTTGAATTCTGTCATTTATTATAGATATCAAGATTTGAATGAAGTAATGCTTTCAACATTATTTTTTTCTCCTAAAAATCTAAACTGTATGATTTAGTTGAATTAAGTATACAGAATGTATACCACTTAGCAAAGGTAAAGTAATACCAATCCTATCTTGATATTAATGCAGTCCTTATGGTGTCAGGCAGGCCTATCTTAGGATTGCATCCAATGTCAGTTGTACATATAGTAGACCTATTGAACTGAATGGGAACCTTAAAGCTATATATAACAGGGCAACATGTGGCCCTCATATTGCTTTTGGAGTACAGCTCCCAGAAGCCCCAGCTAGCTTAGCAGAAGATGATGGGAGTAACAGTCTAGCAACATCTGGAGGACCATGAGTTGCTCACAGTATCATAGAAATAGAGACCTTGACTTGGCTCTTAACATAAAATGGTTTTCACCACCCCTACTACATAGTATGTTGAGGAAGACTCTCTAGGAGCCATATGCAGCTTGGTCACTCCGCCATGTCATGCAGGACTCACTGTGATTTAGTCATGCTATTTACTTCAAAGAGAGGCCTTCCTATGCCTTATCATCATGGAGCATTCGTTGGCCTTCTCTTGGCTTCCATGTGGAAAGCTACTCTTTGAAGCTGGGAGTGAGCATGGAAAATAAGCATTGGCTATTCTGAGTGGGGCCATGGGAGGTTGTCCAGCTTGGAGTAAATAACTTGACTCAGGTCCTTAATGGAAGTGACTGTGAGGCCTGGCAACTGGGAACTTATGAGGCAGGCAGAGTGCATTAGCTTCTTCAATAATTTTCTGTTGTACAAAGCATTAATATTAAGGAGTTTGGTGTTCTGAGAGCACTGCAGTTTTACACATAATTTTTGCAGCAGAGCCAATACTGGCCTGAGAGGGACCGTAAAGTCTAAAAAGAAATTAAGGGGATACATTTTATTAGAAGCTCTGCTTATATCGAAGAGATGCATATTATGCGTCTGCTAACTCCTTCTATTACAATGCTTTAAAATGCTTCTAAGATTTACATTAGAATGGACAGTTGTTCCTTTCCACTTTCATATAATGCTGTATGCATGCATTTGGAAGTAAAAGAGCTCACCTTTAACTTCTTTTTATGCAGCATCCTTAGTAGAGCTTCTGGACCATGGTCACCCCCTGAGTGGAGTGTCAGAGGTCATATTTGTGGCACACTGCAGGAGCACCACACTTGCCCAGTAACTGTCCTTCAAATCAACAGAGGACGCCTCTGCCCTTTATTAACCTGAAGATACGCTTTCAAGCTCTTCTTAGTTCCACAGGCTCTC